TCATCGAGATTTTCCGAATGAAAAGAGGCGTATATAGTGGACTTCGATGGGGTTTTCAATTCGGATAAAAACGACGCTTAATTACTTTAAACGCGAATATTTGGAATTAGGCGATAGATGTGTCACTACATTGGCCTCTGTAAGTGTCATTAGTCATAATAGTATAAAATTATTTTATTTCTAAGATGTTACATGCAAGCTAGAAAATAAGGCACCTGTCACAGACAATGTCAGGCACAGATTTAGGCTTTGTCTGGCACTAAACCTCTGGTGCCTGTCATTTTGTCCGGCACTGATTTGTCTTTTTATTGAGATTATCAATACATTTCCAGTACTAAGATGAAAATGTCAGGTACTATTTTATTAGTGCCTGGCATTTTGTCAGGTACATCTTAAACCGTTATTTCCAGGCCTGGTTACATGTATTAATAAAAAAATGAGTTTGCCAGGTGAAACTAAAGGTACCAAATCTAAAAACAAACACATCAGTATATTATCTTGATGTTTATAGCTACGTTCTCGTAGCTAATTGTAGACAGACACCGTATCTTTCGTAACTATACTTACCTCCTGAACTTGAGGCTCTGCGTACAATCGGGTAACATCTTTTACCAGATGATGAAAAAACCCAGTTTCTGCCAGTCGATCAGAGAATATAAAACTGCTGTGTGTTAGATTCTGAAACACGCATCGCACAGTGTCGAGGAAATAAACAGGTAAATCGTCATCATTATCCCCTTCCAACATATCATCTGTCACGTGATCCACATTAGCGGCTTTTAATATTCCTAAATATTTGGTCACAGAAATGTCAGCAAAGTTGATGAATGCAGCATAATCACCCAAAATGCTATAAGTAGATTTCCCGTTATGCGCGTTTAATATGTAGTTGAATTCATTTAATTGATCGCTTAATTCTTCAATCTCATCATTGGTTAAATCTGTATTTAACTGATCCGTTACGTCATCGAAATATTCGCATTGTTGAACTATCTCGGGGTGTTCACGTTTTATTTTTTCTCTTCCATCAGAGTCACTAGGACTATCGATGTCATTTGATGGGTCCACTTTCTTGTTTTTATCGGTACATATTCCGCCTGTATCAATGGAGCCATGGTTGGCTGTTGTTGTATCAATAGAGCCATGGTTGGCTGTTGTTGCCGTCGACCCAGCAACTGATGACGAGGCCCCCATTGGTAATCTATATATGAATAGAATCAATAAACTCTGGTCTAATTAACACGAGTCACGTCTTTAAAATAATTTTAGACATTGGATCTCAAGAGGAACGATTCGACTTTAAGCAAGGAAATGGTGGGGGTGGGGATAAATGTCATTATCTATGACATGCTCTTCTTGCGAAAGTACCACAAGTGATAATGAACGTTAAACCACACGAACAAACGTCTTATTAATCAGTCTTGTCACACGAATGAACTATCGTAGGTGTGACCAGTCTTGTAGCACAAACTATCGAAGGTTTGATCAGTCATGTCTCAAACCTCGTCAATTAGACGCACTATATATGGGTGTATTGAGATCGCGGTATGACTTGATAAACATCAGAACAATAATAATCACTCATAATTCACACAGCGTGACGAAAAGGGTAGATCTTTTCAATCCTCGCACTTGTTGGGTGTCGAATCCCAGGGCTTTGTATAGATGCAAGTCATGGGTTCGACCCGAGATTTGTAGATCAAAGTGCAGGTTATTCTGACTAGCCTAATGGATTAATTTCTGGTTCTCCTGGAAGGTTTCCATCTTTTCTGAAGAAAAAGAAATATAATGTTAGCTCCGAAAGTGTTTAGTTGAAGTTACCCCCCCCCCACCCTCTCTCTCTCTCTTTCTGTGTGTGTGTGTGTGTGTGTGTGTACCACGTATGCTTGTATATATCTATGATCTAATTGTATAGATCTATTTATAGGTCATTCTATTCTAGTCAATAATTCAACGCTTCTTGTATCTGATTTTCCATTCACAACAGAATCGATAATAGTCCGTTCCGCACTAGTTGAATTTTAGTTGAGCTTCAGTACATTTCAAACGACAGACGGTAAATAAATTAACAGGTGGTGAGAATCACCGACGTAAGGCGAGGGTCCACTCGTCCTCCCCTCCACTCGCTTGATGTAAGGCGAGGGTCCACTCGCTCCCACTCGCCCTCCCCCCTCCCCTCGCTTGATGTTAGGCGAGGGTCCACTCGTCCTCCCCTCCACTCGCTTGATGTAAGGCGAGGGTCCACTCGCTCCCACTAGCCCTCCCCCTCCCCTCGCTTGCCACGTGCAAGTAATCTAGAACATAGACTCCCAACCTTCTTCTGGATCTGGTTCCCCCTTGTCAGCGATGCAGGACGGAGGGCCTGACAAGGACAGCTGTCTAGTGGTTCGGATGGGACGAAAAACCGAGGCCCCGTGTACACATTGACGTGCACTTAAAAGATCCCTTGACAGTTGGAATTCGATATAAGAGTAGGTCGTAGCGCCGCTATCCGGGCAAAATTTCCCTCATAGCACTGTACGGCGTATGTCCGTCTTCATTAACCTAGTTCGGAGCAGAACAGTAGGACGTTAAATCACTTTTTCATTCTCATTTCTGTATTGTATACTGTCACAGAACCAGTAGCTGCGTGAACCATAAAACACATACTTTCACAGTACCTGTAGCTCACGGTACCCATATAAACACATACTCTCACAGTACCTGTAGCTCACGGTACCAATAAACACATACTCTCACAGTACCAGTAGCTCACGGTACCCATAAACACATACTCTCACAGTACCTGTAGCTCACGTGGACCATAACACACATACTCTCACAGTACCTGTAGCTCACGTGAACCACAAAACACATACTCTCGCGGCACCTGTAGCTCACGTGACCCACAAAATCTTAATCCGAGTCTGACTTGCTGGTAGATCAGTGAATTAATTCATACATATAAACTTACAGTTTAGCTGAGATGTTGATCCGTCGACTCTCTTAGACTCGTTCACACCAAACAGAATCAATAGTCATGAATATTTTTTATATTATGGTCTGGTATATTTATTTGTTATGTTACTATGGCGCAAACTGACATTTGTTTAATAGATCTATTATATAGCTTTGTGCTTAACAATTTACACACGAATAAATAAGGTTAAACGATATACAGTGATCCATCTGTGTCTATTTTATGTCGCAGTATAATGGTCGTCACCCCGATCCGTCCGTCTGTCTACCCGAGTATTGTGTTATAGTCATGTTTATATACACGAGTAGATTAAAGTATATATAACAGAGATATCCATATAACTCTATTCTTTGGACCTTAAGATAGACGAAACTACGTCCGTGTGGAGTAAAAGGGTCCTATCTGGATTTTGCGAAATTGTCCAGGAGAGCCAAAAAATAGCACAGAGGTTAAGAATCAAAATGTCTTATAAAACCGTCACGTCAAAATGTTGTATATAAAATGTCATATTTCGGAAGCTTTTCTCAAATATTTATGTACATAATGTATGTGTAGCCATTAAAACAGTATGTAATTATCCGCACATATCAAGCTCAACAACTAGTCCAAAAATAAGGAATGGAAGCTGGTTATTTGCAATTTTGTGCAGCAAAGACGTATCTCAGGAAAATATTCACCTTTACCTTCTTCAATTTCATAGAGTAAACACAGTAAAGGCTCCACAATAATTTCAATAATACGTATTTAACCACAAAACAATACTGGCTATATTTCGTTTGCTTGTAATTGGACCGGATACCATGACAGTGATGCGAAACTCAAACGGAACGAGGACGGAAGGCCCAGGCAGGTGGTTTATAGTTTTTAATTCATCAATTTTTCCGAATAAAATGGACTGACGGAATCCGATTCTAATCCTACCCACGCCACTAGATACTCACATTTTCAAAACAATCACCGGTGTTCTTCTACTTCACGATTAAATATACCCAAAAATTAATTAAAACATTACTAGGCATTACCTCTAGACTCCGGGCCCCTTCCCCTCTCACGGGCCCTGGATGTAATACAGTTTCAATTACCTTCGTATTGTTTTCTGCTTATTAAAAGATAGGAATGGGTGGGTTTCTTTTAGCCCCTGTAAACCATTATATTTTAACTTATGGATGGGTTTATTGTAAACCTTTAAACCATTATTTAACTGGACAGATAATGGATCAAGTTCACCGGACGTAACGACCCTGAAATTTGATATTTTCGCCCCAATGTATACTATTGATGCTCGAGGAGAAGATGCCCGGGTGTTCTCAGGCTGCTGCGAATGGTTTCAACCCTGAAGAAATTACTCAAGTCATTTGCGAGCGCTACATCATCATTAGAAACTAGAAGAACAACATCTGAACCTTTTCCAAGTAAGGAATAAATAACAGAAAACAAGGCCTTACTGGAGTTTTGTTCATTATTTTCCTTACAATATTTAGATTTGCTATTCTTAATCAAAACATTGACCTCATTTCGGGCGCTTTTATAGATTTGTCGATGGAATTCAAGGCGTGTCTTACACCATCGACTTTCAGCAACTCGTGTTTTGCTTTAGCATCAAATGAAATGGGGTTTAACGTCCTACTGTTCTGCACCTAAACTGGTCTAATGAAGACGGGCATACGCCATACAGTGCGCTATGAGGGAAATTTTGCCCGGACAGCGGCACTACGGCCTACTCTTATATCGAATTCCAACTGTCAAGGGATCTTTTACGTGCACGCCAATGTGTACACGGGACCTCGGTTTTTCGTCCCATCCGAACGACTAGACAACTGTCCTTGTCAGGCCCTCGGTCCTGCATCACTGACAAGGGGAAACCACGCCGGAAAATCTGGATGAACTTTCTCGGTCAATGCAGGGATCGAACACCCGACCTCCTTTAGCTTCAAGAATATCGGCTGAGTACCAACGGGTCGCGAAGCTTCCATTTTACTTCATCTCTTTATATAACAGTCAAACAAATTTCACAAAAAACGACAATCAAGAAGCACAAGGATTAAATTCAAAACAATTTATTTTTCTATAATACAATTTTTTTACCCCGTCTATAATTTATTCTCTGTTTATATACAATTAGTGACACACACACACAACAGTCTTGTTTATCCAGTCTGCCAACATTCAATACAATATGCTATATTGAGCGTCTTGTTAATCGAGATTAGCTTGTTTAACAAGATGCCGAAATAATACGTCATGAATGGAGTGCCGTAGTTTCCCTGGACACAAGATTAAAAACCCCACAAACAATCACACAGATAATCTCTGTATGTTCCTTAAATTCTACACAGTTTTAACATGACGGGTGGGGCATATAAGGGTTGCCAGGTAACATTGTTGCTATGATACGAACCATGGGTTAGTATTTGAACTGCCCAGTACACTGTTAACCCACGTTATGACACTGTATGAATCAAGGTAAAACAGGTTGAATTACCATAATAATTAAAGGATGGAATAAATATGGATTTCTGCACAAAATAAAAATGGTTATAGATATCGAAAAAAAGACTGTTACACCTATAACAGCAAAATGATTTAAGGACATAAACAATTCAAAATAACCCCAGGAGAGTTGTAACAAGATTTCTGACAACCATCATAATATAGTGAATTATGATTTAATTCAGTGATTTATATAAGATATCCTAATAACTTGGTGCCATCAAATATCTCGTTTTATAAATTTTAATATTTCCATAAAGTACAAATTTAGCTGAATCAAAAATCAGGAGATAAAACCAGAGGTTGAAGTTTCATAATTGTTAAGAAATAGATACCCCATATTTCACAGTAAGATAACATGGTCATATTTCATAGATATTCATCAATATTGAACTCAATATGAATTATATTGATTTAGAGAGATATAAATATACAAATATAGCTAAATTAAAAGAAGGCGATGCATCCGGGACGTTTTATAGACATCTTGAATAAATACTGAATAAATAATATACCCCACTTGATGATTTTTATACAATAGGATAATATATTTAATAACCCACTTAATGAGGCTAATATATTTAATAACCCACTTAATGAGGCTAATTTATTTAATAACCACTTAATGAGGCTAATTAATATATTTAATAACCACTGAATGAGGCTAATTTATTCAATAAATTCATTCAGATCTTTGTTTATTGCACACAGATAAACTGTAAATGATGAATTTACATGATTTTATGTTGTTTTTTTCTTTGTGTGTTTTTTTAAAATAATCGTGTACCTAATAAATGATATTTTTATTGACCAATCAACTTTCGTTTACACCAATAAAAATAACCAATGCTTGCTCCAGTGTTTTTACAATAATCATGTACATGGAAACCGAATGAATACATCTAAATATAAACATTAATGACCATCTAAATATAAACATTAATGACCATCCAAACTTATGGACTATGAGAGAAAGGGTTAGGTTAGGGTAAGGATACAGTACACCATGCTGTGAGTACTATGAGTGAAAGGGTTAGGGTAAGGATACAGTACACCATGCTGTGAGTACTATGAGTGAAAGGGTTAGGGTTAGGATACAGTACACCATGCTGTGAGTACTATGAGTGAAAGGGTTAGGGTTAGGATACACCATGATGTGTGTACTATGAGAGATATTTTCTAGTAGTTACCATGGTAATCTATCTATTATTGACAATAGGTGGACTTTCTCCTTTAAACATATTTCTTTTAGTCTGATTAAAAACAAATCTCGACTTCATTTCATCGCCCAACATAAACAATGTTAATACATATTTACATCAATTTAATCAAATTCTATAATAGAATAATTTACAGTTATGTACATCTTCAATAAAAATTATTTACAAGCAAAAATCATTATAAACTTGGAAGCTTGTTCAATAAAATAATTAAAGCATGTTTTTATATTTCCGTTGGCTGTACTGTTTATTGTAGTCAATCTAATTAAAATAAAGATCCTATTTCGTTTGGTTTTTTTATAGTTCAAAATTTCATTTTACTTGTCTTTACTACACTAGAATCTGTCAATATTACAACTATGTGTCAATATTCCACTGACGTGATATCACAAATATATTGAAGCTTACTTTTAACCAAGCCTATATCCTTAGTGAAAACAATAAATTATAATATTTTGCCTCCATAGGAAGAAATTCATCGGCAATTTATCATTTAAATTTATTCTTCATGGTTATTATTTCTATGTACATTTATATATAAATTTCTATTAATTCACAGTTAAACATAATTTTACTATTAATATAATTGAACACATGAATGAAATAAAGTTCAACTGGATCAGATAAATGAAATGATGAATATTGATATCGAAACCAGGACTTGATGGTTAGTGAGCTAATGAGTCATCGATGCTCCATGAATTGATCACGACTTTATCGTGGAATTTGTCGGATATAAATTATGTGGTTATAAGTCAAGTCCTTGGGTTAGGGCTAGGGTTATGTGGTTACAAGTAGAGTCCCAAGCATGATATGTTAATATGATATAACTAATTAATGAAACACATGATTATAAAATATTGATAGCACATATATTATAAAACAACCTTTAACTATTTATAACATATTCAATATACCACAAACAAAATAAGGTTTTTATTACATATTCGATTTAAGACAAACAAAATAACATGTTTTACAGACAGACCTGGCCAAAATACATGACATGATTAATTAATTTATCATACAACTTTAAAAACCTCATTCTTCATTCTGAGATCACAAAATAATCACATTATCTAATATATCAATTTTTATCCCCATTTATATATTTTTTCAATTTTATTATTACCTAAATAATAACTTATTTCAACCTTTCATGAACACACGACAATTCTTACAGCTTTATTCAACAAACCGTGAAATGAAGGGTCTTAAAGGCTCAATACCACTCTTGTTGTAACTGAATAATATGTCCCAATCTTTATTCTGGTCAACAAATTGTACTATTTTACAATATTCCAATTAATTGAAGATACAAATTTCATCTTAACACACCTAATTTAAAAATTGAAAAAATTCAACTAAATGATTTGAAAAGCCTGACGTAAAGCTTTTCAAATGTGACTTGGATTTAAAAATATTTTTGAACCCTCTGGACAAGTAAAATAGGATTTAATGGATAATTTACACAACAGGTAGGACACTAACACATCTAGTACTTAGAATAAGGCTATTTTGTATTTTCTGGAGCTGTCAAGCCAGCACAAGTGTTATTGTCCCTTTAATAAAGGAGCCGTCCCCTGATGTTTTAGAGCAGTGATTTTCAACCAGTGGACCGCGGCACACAGTTGTGCCGCAAGATCTTCCTAAGTATGCCACAAAATTTTGAACGGCACACTAAGAAATGCGAAAAAACATGTGATCCCAATTGAGTATTCACTGGTGTCTACTGGTGAATTCATAGCTGTGTTTTCCTTTATTTAGTTTGAGTCATTCTATGTTTCTATAGCTAGTCTCTGTCTACAGTTGTATGCCGTCTGACTTACCATGTTTTTATTTTGCAAAATTCAAATATTTTTCACATATATTTTACCAGGTGTGCACCTATTTTTTTTATGTGTTCCAAGGGTGTGACGTTGGCAAAAAAAAGGTTGAGAACCACTGTTTTAGAGGAATGAAACCAGTTCATTTTGTGTGGAAGGAAAAACCCATTATCTTTACTCACCCTACACAGTACAACGAGTGCCAAATGTAGTACTATTGTATCTTTAAACATGAGTTCCCAGAAAAGGATTTATCGGGTGGTTCTTTCCAATAAAAGTATGGTAATTTTGGTATTAGATTGACACATTGTATAGAGGTCATATCTCACACACTCAATCTAAATGAGTGATAGGTTTATAATAAAACAGGGATAATTTGGTAAAAATACTGGTTATATCCTTTCCATTGTCAAAATATCCATCAAATACTTCTTGTTTATAAATGTGTTTGGTAGACCAAATAAGGTAATGTTCTCCTCCCGGTCGTCGGGGTATGGGGGATGTTTATTCCATATGACGTAAAGAAATTAGGGTGTTATAAAAGAGGGTGTTGAGCGAAATTCATTAGAGCTCAACCAGTCTGTCAGAGCAGCCATTATAAGCTATATACACTTTATTGAGAACGAGGATATTTACGATCACAAAGAAAACACAACAAAGAAGTCCAGTATTACTACACAAATACCGGGTTCGAATCATATAATCACAGCTAAGTTGTAAATTGTCTTGCTTTCATTGGTCCAAAATTATCCAATATCAACAACATAAGCTTATAACTAAAACTATAAAAAATCATATGCACATCTATTAATAAATCGAATAGGTCAAAGGGCATCAATTCAAGTCAAATACAAAGTGGAGAAAGATCACAGTTCAAGGCATAAATAACAACACCCCTTTAATCATGGTTCATATATCCAAAAATAACAAGACCCCTTTAATCATGGTTTGTATATAGACAGACAAGAGAGAGAGAGAAATGGGGTTTAAGGTTCACTCGACACAAACTAGGTCATTTCGGGACTAACACATGGTTCAATTTTATTTCAATAATTCACTTGCGAGTAGGGGTCTTTAGCAGTGGGAGGAAACCAGAGGACCTGGAGAAAACCCACGAGGTTGAACAGGCGACCCTACACCTTGTCACGTACAACGGGGGATTCAAAACCCCGCCAGTTGACTCAATGACAGACCTTATGATACATACATTGTATATAGACAGAGTGATAGACAGAGTGTCTGGCTAACTAGAGGCTAATGAATTATAGATTCTTACCCACCATATCTTATACATAACTAACGGTTGACCCAGCGTAGCATGGGTATCGCCATGAACCAGAAGTAGTATGTATAACTAGTGGTTGACCCAGCGTAGCACGGGTATCGCCATGAAGCAGAAGTAGTATAACTAACGGTTGACCCAGCGAAGCACGGGTATCGCCATGAACCAGAAGTAGTATAGCTAACGGTTGATCCAGCGTAAGACGGGTATCGCCATGAAGCAGAAGTAGTATGTATAACTAACGGTTGATCCAGCGAAGCACGGGTATCGCCATGAATCAGAAGTAGTATAACTCAGAAACTGGAGGTGGTAGGCCATTGCCAGTTTCTACATTTCACTCGACTCTACCTACATCTAACTAACGTCAAGTCACCCAATTCTATCCCAAGTTAACCCCAAATTAAAAATCCAGTTCTCTCCCTTTCACAACAATATACATTGACATTTCGTATTTCTAACTAATTTTAGTGGCCTGTTAATCCCAAATTAAAAATCCAGTTCTTTCCCTTTCATGACGTTAAACATACAAAATAGCATCATAAATAATTAAACAATTTAACAGTTCGTATTCCTAACTCATTCTTTAGTTACCGAATTCTGGCCCCTGTTACCCCCAAAATAAAAATGTCAGACAGGCAAAAGCCAATTCTCTCCCCTTCATAAACATCACAGATGATGTCATAAATAATTCGAGCCTTTAATTGTTCGTATTCCCAACTCGGCCTCGTTTTCACCTGTCATAAAATACGACATAGACGGAACACGAGACAATTCTTTCTTGGGACACAGTCTTAATCGTTTCATATATAGTAAAATAGAGGCTAGAACTATCACAATACACAACAAAATGAGATACTCGTTGAGAAACATTCGTGGTATATAAGTCCACGATCTTGTACTTGATGGAGTACTGATTGATTTCTGTATATCCCTGAAAAGACAAACCAACAAAATCTGTTGAAATACATGACAAGTATGAGTCACATTAGTGAAATTATCTTTGGAACAAATTCATTCTTGTAAATAGCAAAAACTTTCTAATTTTAATAGTCCATGTTTCTATTTGTAACTAAAATTTGATTCTAAGACTTGGGGAGGGTAGAGGAATACAGAAACAAATAGCCTGGTTCCAATTCTTACTGATATATACTCTTCACAAAAAGTAAGGGATATTCAGAAACAATACAAAACTGCGGAAATGCACTGTTGTTTTTATTAGAGGTAACCAGTGTATGTTAATAACAGGCCAATTGCCTACACATGAACATAAACAGTTTATATGGGCGGCTTATCTGACGGCCCCATTTCACTCGCAAAGAGATACACTGTCAAAAGTGAAAATGGATGTTTTTGATTTTTGTCTTAATAATGAGTAATTGTTCCACCAATCTACAGACATTCAGCAATTCGTCGTGGCATGCTCCAAATCAACCGTCCAATCAATATTTGGGGAAATCTGACCCACTCCCCTTGCAGTGCCACGGCCAATTCTTGTAGTGTTGTCGTTGACGTCGACGAACACGTCTCTCGATGAAAATAAACAGAGCACACTAAAGCAAAGATATGCAAGAACCAATAGGAAAGCAAACATGGATAGATATCCAGCATGCAGCAGTTTTCATCAACCCTTCCTTGAGGTGTACAATGAACCCCTCCCACGTGTATGGCGCTATTGCGTGTCGCATATGCAGCTCAGTGGTTCTGTTGGGGCGATAAGTTCTTCATCTGTAAACATACTCCCAAAGCATGTCAAGTGTCCATGACTATTTATCATATCACAACCTGCATAGGTATTTGCATTTCAATATCCCCCATTTTGTTTTGAAGAGTATATACTGAATATAAAGACACAAGTATTCTATGTAACAAGCGGACAACAAGTCTTGACTATTTCTTTAAACAAGGGAATTTGAGTAGCCTACTGATTTCATCAGCCAACATTGATTGAAAAGTAATTGAAATATAATTGACTATAATGTGATTACATTTCCATCAATTTTTAAATCTTCCATTACTCATTACGTGGCCATTACTCATTACGTGGCCATTACTCATCACGTGGCCATTACTCATTACGTGGCCATTACTCATTACGTGGCCATTACTCATCACGTGGCCATTACTCATTACATGGCCATTACTTCAAAAATGTAATGATTACATTCCATTACCACAGCCCTGACAGTGAATCCCTAAATCTTATCAAATTTCTCAACGCAGTAGGAGATATTGAGTCCCCTAGTGTAAATATACATTAAAGACAGACATGAATCAGTGTAAACCTACCTTAAGGGCAGGAATCGTGTCCTGTAAATTAAAGCTCCTAATGTCCACTGAACATCTTTTTTATTGATTAATTGTGCTGCTATTAAATTTTTATAATCTTCAGGAAATTGAAAACCTTCGTGTAAAACTGTTGCTAACCAAGCCCCTTTAAAACATTGTGTTCTGGAAAATAAGAATAATACATTACCGAGCCTAGAATAATCTGGTCATTGTCTGAAACTCTCATACAAATGCATTTGTATAGACAGTATGATAGATAGATAGATTTATTTCGTAAAAACATATACAACATAATAAATCTCATATTTATTTACGGCACAAAAATATTTCTTTATGGTACAAAGATATTTTGAGAACTAATGCAGTCCAGTCAGACCCCCCCTCCCCTCCCCCTCCCCCATGAACTAATGCAGTCCAGTCAGACCCCCCCCCCCCCCTCTGAACTAATGCAGTCCAGTCAGACACCCCCTCCCCCATTTTAAATCCGGCTTTTCTGTCTAGCGATCCATGTCCAGGTTTTACAGCTGTTCAAATATAAAATCGTGTTCGTGTTCTCCATCATTGTGTGACATGTTGTTCAAATGTAAAATACAACAGAAATTAAAAGTTGTATGAACTTCTCAAATAAAAAAAACCCCCAAAACAATTAAATGGTGTGTAAATAAAACTGTAGTACAATAATTTTTATGAACTTACTTAAATCTATCGACGTCTGCTTTAGGATATAATTTTTTCTTGTATCTTTCCTGTAAAACACTCCAACTTGTACTACAAAAATCCTACAAAATAAAACATTCACCTGTATAATACCTGTTATAAAACATTCACCTGTATAAATACCTGTTGTTAAAATGAGGTTTAAAGTCCTACTTTTTCTCACCAACAAGATTAATGCAGAAGAAAACGATGTTTCGACATCAAAAACTATTTTTATTTCGGATGTTTTGCTTCCATATGATGCCGTATAAACGAAGGTACATTGGGAATTAAATATGAAAAATAGTGAGGTGAACATATTTTTATTATGTACGAATTTGAATTTTTTATTGACACAGGATTTTTAATTGTGGTCTGAACCATTCTGCTTAAATAACAATAAGAGTTATGCCCCTTTATTTCCGGTAAAAATGTCCGTCAAGAAACATTTTGAAATAGCAACAATGATTCAAATGCCAAGCAGTGAGCTTTGACGCTGTCAGTTTTTCAGTCTACTATTCGAGGAATTCTGTCATTGTTTTTCTTTTTACGCACACCCAAAAGTTTAGACGGGACTACAGTTTATGATCCCATCCCTGCCATGACCTCCATTGTGAACCACTGACAATAGGTAACCATACTTTCACTACTTGAATGTAATCCAGGACTTTCCATCAGAATCATCTTAAAATCTTACCTGAGATTCATGTTCTAGTTTAGAATATTAATATAAAATCTTACCTGAGATTCATGTTCAAGTTTAGAATATTGATACGGTCCACCGATACCAAACACATCTTCTGTTGAATACCAGAACTCGGAGAAACCGTAAAACTTGGAGCGTTGGGGATCAATCCCTGGTTGATGGATGCCATTCATGGAACAAGGTTTGTGACTACACGCTAACGTTTTGTTTAATAAGGGTTTCATCATCGCACGACATTTCTTAAAATCTCCAATTCCCTTGAAATAATACTTTCGTCCACTTTCGTTGGGGGACGTGACTAACGGCATTTGTTTTGGTAAACATGGATCCTGGATGGCATTGGTCGTGTTTCTACCTCGATACCTGTAATATTTTATTTACAAAAACAATATATATATTTATATTAATATATTTAACAATATATATATTTATATTAATGTTTTAAAATTATTTTTATATTCTATATTGATATTGTAATATTACCCCTCGTGTTATATTGATATTGTGATATTGCCCCTTGTGTTATATTGATATTGTGATATTACCCCTTGTGTTATATTGATATTGTGATATTACCCCTTGTGTTATATTGATATTGTGATATTACCCCTTGTGTTATATTGATATTGTGATATTACCCCTTGTGTTATATTGATATTGTGATATTACCCCTCGTGTTATATTGATATTGTGATATTGCCCCTTGTGTTATATTGATATTGTGATATTACCCCTTGTGTTATATTGATATTGTGATATTACCCCTTGTGTTATATTGATATTGTGATATTACCCCTTGTGTTATATTGATATTGTGATATTACCTCTTGTGCTATTATATTTCATTGTAAAGCGCATCTGAACATGTTTATCATGAACTGAGCGCTGTATAAATAACCCTAACCCTATAACACGCCAATATATATAACACACATCCCGCTTCCTGATCCCCAGAATCCAGTAAAAACATGCAGGTAAATTTCACCATTTGATATTAAGTACGCCACCTGAATCACACTAAAGACTTGTGTCTATTATACACCCCCTTTCTGATCCCGAGAAAAATAGATATTCCCCAACATAATACACAGGTAAAATTGTTCCCTTGCTAAATACAGCAATATTTCCACTCTATTTATCCACCAAAAACGTTTATCAAAATAAAGTTTTTCTATTTGTATAGGTTTTTTTTTATCTGTAATTAGCAGCATGACAGTGTAAAGATGTCCAGAAAATAACAAAACAGAGTTCTTTTTAAACTGTCTCTGGTCCATTATAACCCTAACCCTAACCCTCTCTAGTCCATTATACATTATAACCCTAACCCAATAACCAATCGGAGCTCTTGTTAAACTGGCTCTGGACAGGCAGATGAACCCAGAAGACAATAAAAAAAATGTCTAGTTATATCAATACAACTTACGGATCAGAGTATGAAAGAGATTTTTTTATCAGCATTTCTTCGTAACGTTCTCGAGCTGAATTTGCACCGAACTCTAAAAATGTTGTCACGTAAATACGATAAGTATGATCCACATCTGAATTCTGACATCCAAGATTCACCTCCGCCATTAAACTTTTTGGTAAATCAGCTTTCTGTAAAAATAAAATACCCAGCATATTCACAATCTATAGGCTTTAAAAACATGGAGTTTACTGTAAAAAATAAAATACAGGTTTAAAACCATGGAGTTTACTGTAAAAAATGAAATACAGGTTTAAAAACATGGAGTTTACTGTAAAAAATAAAATACAGGTCTAAAAACGGGAGTTTACTGTAAAAAATAAAATACAGGTCTAAAAATGGGAGTTTACTGTCAATTTACAATCCGTAGGTTTAAAAACATTGAGTTTACTGTCAATTTAAATTAAATGGATTTTAACATGCTATTGTTCTGTATCGACTGGTCTAATGAAGTCGGGCATACTACATACAGTGTGCTATCAGGGAAACTTTGCCCAGACAGATGGGCAACATTCTCCTATGGTTCTGCTAATTCCAATACAATCAGCGTGATTACTGACACACTTATTCCTTGGACACTTGCTAATTGTTATTTTGATATGACGTCACTCAATTCCAAGATGGTTTCTCGTTCATAGTACATTCATAATTGTCAAATATAAAAAAATAAAAACACAGAAATTACGACTCACTGGATTGGTTACTTCAAAAGCTATTTGAACCGATCCACCACCCATATCTATCATTCCTACTGTTCGTCTACGTACATGCATCGGTGTGTTCGGACTTTCACCTGGCAACCGAACACTCACTACTTCATGATCTGTAAATAGAACAATAAAAATAATGTACGGAGTCAAATTATTGATTTACAAAAAAACATCATCTTGGCTGTGATAATAGATAAAGAATGAGGTAGGCGGATTTAACATCATCTGAGCTGTGAACCTAGAGAAGGAATGAAGTAGGGGGGTTAACACCATCGGAGCTGTGAACCTAGAGAAGGAATGAGGTAGGGAAGTTAACATGCTATAAGCTACTAGTCAACACAAACTAGATTAATGATAAGAATATTTTAGTGGCATTTAGTAACTGGATAAAGAAGTAAACTATTCTACATGGAAAACAGCTACTGATTAATGATAAGAATATTTTAGTGGCATTTAGTAACTGGATAAAGAAGTAAACTATTCTACATGGAAAACAGCTACTGATATATTTGGGCCGTTTCCAAGAGTATTCGCTCTAGTTTATCACGTTAAATATACTAGTGGCTGTTTCACAATTTATAATTGACCAAGGTTGACAGTAACTCGGGTAACTTCACCGATGGTCTGAGTGACTGTACAATAACCATGTGAACTTCCCAAATAAAGTAATAAGTGATATCAGATGTTATATTTTACCTCCTGGTCCATGAGAGAATTTATCTAAAACATAATTAACGGCAATCCAGGCGTAAACTCCTTCCAGTTTACCACTGATAACTTCAAAATGATTCTCGGCAACCAGGAAATCGTAATTTTTAGTAATATCCGTCTGTAGATCATTCAATATTGCTTTCTGGGCTCTAAAAAATATCAAATTTTAACATAGTAAAATATCAAATTTTAACATAGAGTAAAATATCAAATTTAACATAGTAAAAAGATAGTAAAGAGTTTATATAGATAAAACGATAGAAATATATTCTTTTCTTAAATTGGTACAAAAATTATTAAAACCAATGTAAGCAAAAGTTACAGACACATAGAATTTTGTTTTACATTTCTACTAAGATAAAACTTTTCAACCCTCATTTTTTTTATGAATGTCATGAAGAATTGTTGAAATCATTTTCTGTCAAATTACTCTTATATCAAATTCCAACTGAAAACGGCTCCTATACATGCCAATATGTACATGGGACCTTGATTTCTTGTACCATCCCACGACTCGTACCATCCCACGACTCGTACCATCCCACGAACCTCTCACATACTCTTAGAAAGAGAGAGAGAGAGAGAGAGAGAAATTGGGTTTAACGTCCACCCAACACAAATCAGACCATTTTGGGACTAACACATGGTTCAATTTTATTTCAATAATTCGCTTGCGCGTAGGGGATCTTTAGCAGTGGGAGGAAACCGGATGACTCGGAGAAAACCCACGAGGTTGGACAGGCGACCCTACTCCTTGTCACGTACAAACGGGAAATCGAAACCCTGTGAGTTGACTCAATGACAGACCGTATGATACAGCAAGCATGTGTCTTAACCATTCGGCCACCCAACCCCCTCACTTACCCTTATAAAATAAATAACTTACTTTTCTGGTATAAGCCTCATACCAGCTGTAGCCAGTATATATAAAGGTGTTTCTTTATGTAAATCCCGGGGAATATATTTAGATACGTAATCTAATAACGGGCTGATATAATCACTTGCTTTATCAGGTTTATCTTCAAATGACGACAATCCTAAATTTATAAAAAAAAATTTTAAAAATATAACACAATCGTAAAATAATAGAATAAATATAAATAGAACACATAATTGACAACAATCCTAAAATTAATGAAAAAATATTGGCGTCATCTTGAACTCAAATTTTTCACACTCTGCCCATATTGAAAAGAGAGAAAGAGAAATGGGGTTTAACGTCCACTCGATACAAACTAGGTCATTTCGGGACTAACATATGGTTCAATTTTATTTCCATAATTCGCTTGCGCGTAGGGATCTTTAGCAGTGGGAGGAAACCGGAGGACCCGGAGAAAACCCACGAGGTTGGACAGACGACCCTTCTCCTTGCCACGTACAACCGGGGAATCAAAACCATGCCAGTTGACTCAATGGCAGACTTTATGATACAGCGTGCATGTGCTAACCATTCAGTCATCCACCCCACCTCCATATTAAAAAGTGCTGAAGTTATTGTTCATTCATTCACATAGACTATCCTAACGCAATATCTTTTGGGTTCTTAACGCAGTAATGTTTGGGTTGTTAACTCAATACTGTTTGGGTTCTTAACTCGATACTGTTTGGGTTCATAGCTACTGGTATGTATCATTGTATGATTTGTTATTTCTGTCATTTTGGGACTAACAAACAATATTTTTAGGACATTTTGAGACTAACAAATAATAATTTTATGAAAACCTGACATCTCACCTGGTTTGGCTTTTTTATGAATTATGTCTCCATATTGATCTGTTACCTGTTGCATATTGAGAAGATCACCTGGATGACCTGAATGTGTCGGCCAGGAATATAGATAAACTCTACTTCCGCTACTTCCACAATCAATAACTATCCCATAATGCTTCTGTGTGGATGTATCCTCTATTATACCATCGTATTTATTAGAGCCGGTAATATAAGGTTCGATAACTAAAACAACAATATAATATTATATATGATACAGCACGCACGTGCTAACCATTCGGCCATCCACGCCCACCCCACCCCACCCCAACAATATATATACCATTATAAACTAATATAAACATCAAAACAAAAATATCTATTAATTTACAATATGAAAAACAAAATCCAAACATAAAAATAATATCTAAAGTTTGAATCAAAATATATATATATATATATACTGGGGAAATATCCAACTCTACTGCACCAACTAGGCTAATGAAGACGGGTAAACACACCCTATAGTGTGATGTGATACGAGGGAAATTTTGTCCTGAGAGCCACGCAACAGCCTACTCTTCTATCCGAGTTGTTTTACGTGTACGTCAGACCAACCGTCCTGCACCACTAACAAGGGACTGGGAAAACCTCACAGGAAAACCCTAAGGTACTTTTCTTGGCCAACACAAGACCTTCAGACAAGCAAGTCACTGCAGCTCCCTGCTATAGAAGGACATGATGAACCAATAAAAATAATTGATATATTTACCAGCAGCAACAACAAGTGCTATAAATGATATTATAACTATCAATCCCATCACCGCTATCAATAACTTCTTTAGTTGGAAATTGGGATTCGAACATGGTGAATTAATATAGATCCTACAAATAAACACAATTTACTTTTAAATTATTTTACATTCAACCAAAATTATACTGACATAAATACACCCAACGTCCTTCTGTATGACAAGTTTATTCTGAACGTATCAATAGTACTATAACATCAATATGGGTAATATAGGTTGAATAGTACTATAACGTCAATACATATCGGTTGAATAGTACTATAGCATCAATACATATAGGTTGAATAGTAGGCTACTATAACGTCAATACATATAGGTTGAATAGTACTAGAGCATCAATACATATAGGTTGAATAGTACTATAACGTCAATAGTACTATAGCATCAATACATATAGGTTGAATAGTACTATAACGTCAATAGAGCATGATCTGTAAGTATATACATATAACATATATACCCAATTTCAGTTCAATATATCATAGCACTGCAAAACACAAAAAAACAGCTGTATAGAAATACCAAGTTATCTTAGGGTGGAGGAAGAAAAAGTTATAAGTTGTTTAGTTACAGTACAGTGTATTTGTGTAAATAAACTATCAATATCAACTCCCTAACACTTTCCATCCTCTCCCCCCGCCACCATTCCTTCTGATCTCTAGTTTTCATAGTGATTCGAGAGCAAGCAAACCTTTAGTATATTGTCTATTTTACTGCCTTTAAAACCAGATTGATCATATACCTTTAGCAAATTTTCTATGTTATTGCCTTTAAAACCAGATGGATGATATGTTGATGAATGATAAAATCCTACCTCATGATTCATGTTTCCATTCATAAACCAGAAACAAACTAATTACGGTTTTAACATCTACTTCCAAACAAGATCAAAGTGCAAACAAGATTCTTAGAATAGAAAAATAACTAGGTTGAAAACATGTTGAAATCTGTTAGGATTATCAAGTCTAAACTTGTTAAAGAGAGAACTGTTTTCTGTTGTTTGTCTGTTAGTGATTATATAAAATCATAATCCATCTAATTAATGCCTATTATTAACTAACGAGCTATCTGGTTAATCTGGTTATTTATAAACCAAACAAGTTGTTATTAATCTTTAATATCATATAGTAAAAGTCACGGTCAAATTTACCACTAGAAATCTGTAATTATTTAAGATGTATTTAATCAACAATAATAGTCCTGTAAAGTCCTTGACTAAGAATGGACCGCTTCACGCCTTTGATAAGATTTCTAAATATCAATTAACTTTTATTGTTCTACTACCAGACACTCATCATTAATTATCAACACAACACTCGGTATAATCTACTGACGACTATGTATACAACTCTACAACACCAATCATGAAATTATGTGGCTTCTATACGTGCGCATTATTCTGCACTGGCTGTACAATTTTATAGTTACATAGTGGATATCGATCATAGCCATGTTTGAAAATTGGGTATTTTCCTGGCGTGCAAAATGACCGATGGGTCAGATGTAGTTACGGTCATTTTCCATAGCCCTCGGGCCCAACCGGCATATACGGCCGACGTGGAACCTATGCTCTAAACAGTTAGAGGGTTGGATGGTCGAATGGTTAGCATGTGCGCGCTGCGCTGTATCATATGGTCTGTCGTTGAGTCAACTGGTGGGATTTCGATCCCCGGTTGTAGGTGACCAGGAGTAGGGTCGCCTGTCCAACCTCGTGGTTTTTCTCCGGGTCCTCCAGTTTCCTCCCATTGCTAAAGACCCCTACGTGCAAGCGAATTATTGAAATAAAATTAAAACATGTGTTAGTCCCAAAATGACCTAGTTTGTGTCAGTGGACTTTAAACCCCCCATTTCTCTCTTTCTCTCCCTCTAAACAGGAAATATGTAAGAGAAAAACCTGCCTATTGCAGGTCTTTATTTGGGCCTTAAATGAAGAAGCGGGGCTAAGACTGGAATGACCAGTAGTTACGATCAATGCAGACATTCTGCCAAAATTGTTTATTTTTGAAATATTATAGTGAGAACGACCAGCTCTTTATCTAAAACTTAGACCAATCTAATTAAATTATTAAACATTAATTTCATATAATAAACTTTTATCATTCTTTGACAAATCTGGCAACACGAAGGCCAGGTATTAATATGTTACAAATCACAAGGAGAAAATATTAAAAATGTTTTTAATTCTACTAGACTACTACCCGTATATAATTTTAGACATGAAAATAGTTTAGCCATATTTCTTCAATATGATCATTGTATATCACTCAAACCCCTGTTCACTGTAACTACAAACAAAACTCCATGGGGTTCAGATTTGTTTTCATAAAACATCGATCTGGTTGGTTTTAATAAATTTATAAGTTGCGACATCAAGAATGGTACATAAATGTTATAGACACATATGTTTAAAATAATAAAACACGTTTTTGCCACATAAATAAATATAATGAAATATTTGTTCGTCGTATAAATACATATAATAACGTATCTAGATTATAAAATAAGTCAATAAAAGGCTGTAAAAATGTTTACTATGTAATATATACTGTCTATATATACTATACATGATTTATACACATGTACCAAAACAATCAGATTAAAATACACATCTACATTTCAATGGCCTCCATAACAAGAAGATTTGACCGATTGACCAGGGCTGAGACCATACCATACCATTACTTTCAGCAAAGTAATTAATTACCATTACCCATTACTTTATATTTATAAAAAAACACCCATATAATAACTAGAATAGATTTTTCTATATGATTGTTCTTTTAAGTGAGCGAGGATGTGAATAGGAAATTAAATACAGTTCTTCTATAGAGAGAGAGAGAGAGAAATGGGGTTTAGCGTTCAATCGACACAAACTAGGTCATTTCGGGACTAACATATGGTTCAATTTTATATCAATAATTCGCTTGCGCGTAGTGGCCTTTATCAGTGGGAGGAAACTGGAGGACCTTCTTCTATAGAAACTCTGGAAAGGCACAGTATCTAATCATTCAGATGGGACAAAAAACCATGAGGTTCCAATTATACGTTGGTGTGCACAGTTGGAATCTGAAGATGAGTAGCTGGAAATCCCACCGTCCAGGCAAACTTCCCTCATAGCACACTGCATGATGTATGCCTGTCTTTATTAGCCCAGTTGGTGCAGAAAAGTAGGATGTTAAACCCCATTTCATTTCTCTTGATACCTAGATTATACAGAAAATTATTTGGTATATTCTGATGAATCTAGTTTGATACAAATACCTCTAGTTCGATCAACATGTATATAAACTATCACTCCAGTCATACTTGATCAACATGTATCTATATACACTCATCCACATGTAAACTCTTATTCAAGTTATACAATTCAAAATAACCTTCTATATAAACAGTGTTATAATAACCTCCTATATTAAACAGTGTTATAATAACCTCCTATATTAAACAGTGTTATAATAACCTCCTATATTAAACAGTGTTATAATAAACTCCTATATTAAACAGTGTTATAATAACCTCCTATATTAAACAGTGTTATAATAAACTCCTATATTAAACAGTGTTATAACAACCTCCTATATTAAACAGTGTTATAATAAACTCCTATATTAAACAGTGTTATAATAACCTCCTATATTAAACAGTGTTATAATAACCTCCTATATTAGACAGTGTTATAATAACCTCCTATATTAAACAGTGTTATAATAACCTCCTATATTAAACAGTGTTATAATAAACTCCTATATTAAACAGTGTTATAATAACCTCCTATATTAAACAGTGTTATAATAACCTCCTATATTAAACAGTGTTATAATAAACTCCTATATTTCTGTACCCACAGAGCTATATACTGATGTCTATTACTATAAGATTGGTATCGTTTAATATGGTTGTTTTAGCGCGAATAACGATGCATACAGTTTAATTTCAAAACATCGTTTGATAATTGATAATAACGCTTGAAAATTACAAAAATCGTTTAATTAGTACTATCGTTTAATTTAATGGTACACCGTTGAATTTCTCCGAGAGGTGTTTAGAAATGGGGAATCCGTTTACTTATCTTATGGGTTTAATTACTAGCCGAGCACTTTAAATTTCCCGAGACACGTAAAAAAATTAACACCCGATGAATTTATCTACAGGGTTTAAATATTAGACGAAGCGTGTAATTTCCCACCAGTCGTTTATCCGATCGTTTATTTTGATTACGATTATTTACGTATGAATTACGAATAAAAAAGGTGAATATAAAATAAATGCACACCCATAGATGCTCGCCTTACCGTGGTCGTAGTATTATTATCCATTATCCATTCAAAATAGTAATTCTGCTATTGACAAATACATCAAAAATCGGTAAATCACGTTCGAGGTAATTAAACATTTGGTGAATATAAAAAAAAGCACACCCATCGATGCTCGCCTTACCGTGGTCGTATTATTATTATCCATTATCCATTCAAAATAGTAATTCCGCTATTGACAAATACATCAAAAATCGGTGATATCGTAGACAAGTCACACACATCCCAGGTAATGTATCTTCACAAATGAATAAACTTCCACCTGTAGACGCCACTGGAAGAGATCGAAGTCAACCCCGCAATGTAATGTTGAACGGCGATAATCTCATGAGACTTCTCACTGGCGCCAAAATCTCTATAGATAAGCTGTCGCCCATTTTCATGCGGGTTAAACAGTATCAACAGGAAATATGCTTCAATGAATACTGCCTTGATGTTACGTAAACACTTGACTGCAGTACAACGATTACACCATGCGTAAATATAATTCTCAATTGCATAAAAATTCTTAAACAAAAACATAAAAAAATCTCAAGTAATTAAACGTTGTTTGGATTGCTTCATTTAATTAGCTGAGTGATAGTTCGGTTGTATTTACATACGTAATCCGATTTTAAATAAAATGTTAAACACTTAATTAATTGCTATGGATTAATAAAAAAAATGATTAACTGAGTGAGATGTATGAAACTTTATATACCGGTAACAATTATGGAAATTCTTGTATATATGATGTAATAAAAACATTATAGTAAATGAT